ATATATATGTGTGTGTGTGTGTGTGTGTGTGTGTTTTTCTTCTGTTTTTGTTGAAATTAGTTCGAATATTGCCATGCACGCTGGTAATCTTCAAATAACGTAATAAAAACAAAGTATATTTGAGTGAATTTTTTTCAGAATTTCTCAATTTATGACATGTTATTATTAATAATTAATAACATGAATGCTATGATTAAGGTTATTAATTATTGTCTACATTCTCTAGAGTTGTCATTTTGTTCTATATTTTTGGGAGTACTATTTCTTACAAACAGAACCGATGTTTTTATGCGTGTCATAAATTGAGAATTCCACAAAAAATGAAAAATATAAGCTGTGTTTTTATGACTAATTTTGATATTTGAGTGAATTTTTAAAATAGATGAAAAAAAGTGTTAGATTGGTAGATAGCAATTAAACATGCATTTGTGTTTGATTGTTTATATATACATGTGTGAGTGCGCGTGCACACGAGTGTCAATCTAATTTGTTTGACTATAAATTTCCTGAAATCAAAGTCCTCGATGATTGTGAACACTTCTTGCCCATATAATATCTCGAGATTTATATCATATGATGAAAAACCATTGATTACTAATCATATTTAACACGCTCGCATCTTTCAAAAGCTACTAATTTTACAGACAACCATATGTTAGCATTCACATTCTTACATACCTAACAATACAAAAATACAATGATATATATTTGAAATAACAATCAAAATAATAAAAAAAAAAGGTATTTAATTCCATAAGCCTAACAACAAACCCACACAACCAATTAAAAAGCAAGATTCATATTTACAGTAAATATTTCTAACATGCTTTAATATGACAATGCAGCCCAGTTTCAGAAAAAATAAAATACTCTCTTTCCAGCTAAACAAAACAGCCTAATAATCTTCATGGTAGAGATGCAAGCCAAAGCCAAACCGGGCAGAGGCTCTACAGAAAGCTAATTCTTCTGCAGCAGCAACGGGATCTTCAAACTGGCTATCTCTTAAGGACACTGTTCCTGTAGATTCACGGTGTGCCTGTACCAATAACTTTAATTAGGTATTTATTTAAATATATTTATATATATTAAAAAGGAAGGAATGGCTGGAGGCTATTATCTAAGCCCCGACCATCCCTCAAGCGCCTAAGAATTCAAGTACCACACTCTACACTCGGGGGGAATCGAACCCCACACCAGAGGGAACTTACAACTGACAAGCAGATGTCCAACCAACTGATCTAAGTACGCGGCGCATATAGCCCCTCTCTC